TAACTGCTTCATTTTAAGAAACGATGTTATGAATATTACTGAACCAATGAAATTGGACCTTTTCGAAAAATTGTAGAAATATGGTACGATTATATTTTGTTTTTTAATCTTATAGGTACTATTATATAAATCTGAATAATTTGTTCGTTTGTTTGTTTGTTTGGACGCGTTAATCTCAGTAATTACTGTTGTATACGCGATTTTAGAGGAGTAGGTCCGTTCAGCAGTGGACTGTCATCTGCTGTTGATCATAATTGTGATTGGAGATTGTGGCTTTCCACTCGCAGCTTTGCGTGCAATGCTTAAAACTTTCTGGAAAATGCCTCTATCTTCCTGGAGAATGCCTCTATCTACTGATGAAAACCACATACAAATTCATTCAGTACTTTTTTGCGTTTAACCCCAACATACAGACATATACAATAGGGTCAGTTAATGTCCAGAATATTACTAACAATTTTTGCAAAAACAAAGTCATTTCGCGAAATGTCCATATTAATTTGATAGGTACTTAAGTTTCGCGAAATCATTGTTGTTTTTGCGACATTATTTCTCAGTGAAATGTAATGACATTTTGTTTTGAGTGGGCAGGCAGAGTGGGCCTCGTCCTCTATATAAAATGGCTGCGTATAATATATTAAAATATTTGCATTTTACTTTCGTTTCACTATACACTGGAGGCTGAAGATATTGGCTAAGTAAGTTGCAAAATTCATAATAAATTATTATGTTTAAATGTTTATTGATTTGAGTTAACTTAGCTAAATGAAGTGTTAGAGAATTTTGTTTCCTATGTCATGGTAGTAAAGTAGCGTTTGTTTTATACGTACATGTAAAATCCATGATAGATTGAGGTAGTCCATCTAGAGCACCTGTGCGAATAGCACCTGAATGAATAGCCCCCAGCCTAGTTCACGAAGGGCATTTATCAAAATATATTGTAGGACCGACTGCTACTGTGTATATTTAGACAGCATATGAACGCATAAATGCATTTTTTTAAGGAGGGAAAATCATCGAATGATTTCTCTCGCCTGGACGAGGCGGGAAGGAGTGTCAGACTCTTACTGACTAAACACCACCTTGTTCCTACTCCTGCAGTTCTAGTCCGAGTTCCGGGTTGCCGCGGCTTCGTATCGGCATCAGTCCTATTGGGCCCCATCCGTGGAGGTCTGATGGCTCTTTGAAGCGCGCGCGGAACGCGACGCGCTGTACGCTCAGGCCTCGTTCTAGTCGCCGTCCGCAAGCCCGTGCATGCATAATGCATAGGATAACCTATCAGGAGATTTTGATATTAAAGTTAAAGCTCAATAGTTCACTTATTTCTTTATCAATTGAATTACATGAACTGACTAAAGCCACGAGCAAAACTATAACCTTTTTGCAATATTCACAAAACCTAATTCCACAATTATAATAGACTAATTTCCTTTACCGATCAAAGCTATAATAATTATAAAACATTAAGATGTAAGTCATTGGAATGGCAAACCACGCAGACAGGTAGCCATCATATGCCGACAGGATAATTATACACATTTTATTTGAAACGATTTGGTTTATATGTATGTACACACGGCCACACATCAATCTATACAAAACCAGTTTATCCTGGTGTCGCGTCGCATCATCTTTCCGCACATTTAACGTTCAGTTTATACTGGTTATGTAAAGCTCGGTGTGAAGCCGTGTGTACATTACGCAAAAACAACTGGACTAAGATCGATTGATGTAATCATTGTAATAAAGTTTGATTGATATAGTTAGCCTTTAAATAGTTATAGGGGTCTGACAGCAGTTTTGTTTAACTGTACTTGAAGAGTATTTTGAACTTAGGATTAATGCTTTAGAATTGTCAGTAGTAGCACAGAGTCTGGACTTGTGCCCGGTATATGACAATAAGCTCACCCCCTATTACATGGGACTCATAATTACATTGTACAGTGACATAATGCGCACCTCTGCCTAACCCTTCGGGGATAAAAGGATGGTTGTGTTATGGTATTATGTTTATTTTTAATGATATTCACGAATTAATGGACGGGTTACGTAGTTTTGTCTATTAATATATTTTGATCAATACAGAAATCATAGGAGGACATTTTAGGGCATTAGTTACATATATTTCTACACAGGTACAAGCAAATGGACCCTAAAGAACCCTGAACTATGAATTAAAACCACATATCAAAACTAAATCGCCAAAACCTAAATCATACAAAAACAAGTACTTATCTATAAATTAAAATAAAATGTACAACACCTAGCATTAATGCTGATCCTATTATACATAATGGCCGTGTTACAATGTGATAAAGCACTCAGTAAACGGCGCTTAGCTCTAAGACATGTAATTATTGATAATCTACATCTATTACATACAGTGCCCATCGGTTCATTTGCATAAAAACTGTTTGACAGGCAACTTTGATTTATTTGTCTGCAGATGTCAGGTGCCTGATTGTGTATACAGTTGGGATTCCTGGTTTCGCCTGATCCATTTTCTAGTAATTTATAATAAATTTTTGCGTAAGATTTAATCCTAGTGTTTAAAAAGGTTAATTTACTTTGGTACTTGTGTCACTGTTGTTATGCAGTAAATGTTATCCACAATTCAATTTCAAGATAAGAATTAAATCTTAGATGAAGATCATATTCCAGAATAGAGGTTCTTTTTACTATTTTACTCCTTTATCCAGTAAGACGCTTTTAGAGCGTTTGCCATTATATTCAAGCTTAAATTGTGGGTTTTTTTTTAAGGGGGGAAATCATCGAATTTCTTCTCCCGCCTAGGTGAGGTGGGAGGAAATGTCAGACTCTTACTGACTAAAAACCACCCTGTTCTTACTCCTACACTTTGAGCCGGAGCCCCGGTAACCCGTTAGGTTCTCCGCGGCTCCGAATCGGCATCAAGCCTATTGGACCCCGTACGTGGTGACCTGGTTACTCTGTGAGGCGCGCGCGGAACGCTCGGCGCCGTACGCTCGGCACTGCTTCTGGTCGGGCGGCGAGCCACCCATGCTCGCCATCCGCAGGCCCGCGATTTCGGTGCCGGAGATCGTCCCGCGATCCCCGAAGCCCAGAGTGTCGGAGATCACAGTTTAAACGGTTCTGACTCAGGTTTTCCAATCTCTATCAAATGTGTTGACAAATAAACTATTATTACCATCAACTATGTAGCTTAACTTGTTAACACAAATTCTCACTTAATCAAAGTAATTCCAACACAATATAATTAACTTCCAGTCTAAGTAAATGCCTTAAAACAATATTATGATCAAGTTGGCGCCACTTTGCGCTATAGACTATAGCCACAGCATTATGCTAGGCTATAGCCAGCGATCCTTATAAGATAAGGTCTATGCTAGAGACTGCATGACCTTTGCATCGCCTTGGAACAATTGCTCGATAGCTTATCGATTTAATAATAATGAGTTCTTAAGTGGATAGCGCGATAAAGAATAGTTTAGAATGCATAATTCCATACTGGGACTTGATCTGTTGACACATACTATATTGTTATGTTCATACATATTTTAGATAGTAAAGGCGCATGCCTTTGCTCTATTGGGATGTTTAAAGGCATGCTTTAAGTATATTATGGTTTTTAACTGGAGCAGCATCAACAGTATCAACAGCCAGTGACATTTCGCCGCTAATCTGAAATTCCTTTACATAAGAGGGTTCGCCATAATTTCATCCTTAGCAGGCGATTTGGACATTACAGTTTAGAAAAATCAGTCTGTCAGAGACTGCCAAGTGACCCTTTATAATCTGTCAAATGTGCAGTTCCTTAGTCGGCTTAAACGATACCCACGGAAAGAGTAGAGGTGATCTAAAATTTATTGTACTGTGCCGTCTAGCTAGCACAATGTAGAGGATCAAATAAAGATCAAATTATTAAAGTACAGAATAAACATATTTGTTGATTAAGATCAGCTCCAATTTTTTCTATCATCAAGTTCGTTGTGGTTACACAAAACGCCAGTCGTTTGAGAATCTTAATTAATACCATATTTATACTACTTGAGGTAAGTGAGTGGTTTTACGAACAAAATATTGACTTTATTGTTATAGGTATTTTTATAATTATCAACCATACGTACTTGAATGTCTTTTAAACTGTCAAACACCAAGCGGTCACTGGTGACCGCAACCTATTGTTCTTTAATTGTGTCTATAAAACCGGTACTCGACGAGTTAAGTTGATTTTTGAGTAAAATTGAACTAAATAAAGTGTAGCTTCAGACCACATCCAGAAAAAGTTAATTTATTTTTAAAGTTACATTCAGATAGTTCGATTAATACATTTAAGGCACCTACTATTGGATGTTAATCAGAAGGATGGAATTTTAAACGTCAATATGTTTTTAAAAGCGATTCAACTAGACCCAAAATTGTAATCCCTAACAGTATACATAAGTAGCTTCATAGATTTCACAACTGGTCCATCATTGGCTAGTCATATCTTCAATAGCATATAATTGAATTTAATACAGTTATTTACGATCATCGTTTCCTGTGGGAACAAGGGGGAGGACCCAAATACTACCTATTCAAAACATATGACCTTCATTGCTGTCTAGTTTCGAGTATAGTCGTGAATAAACAAGACAAACTGACATAAAGATCGATAATTTTTATTTGCAGACAGATAATATTTACAAACCCATTGCAGGTTTTATTATTTCACATATTGTTTCATTTGTTTAAATAAACTTAAGTTTTTGAGAAGACAAGGACGGTGATGCTTGCTTGTTAGTTGCGAATATTTATAATTGCAGAAAATAATCCAAAATTAGAAATATAGTTACTAAAGTTTGGAAGAAGAAGGCAACCTTTAAGGTCTAAACTCATGTAATATCTATACTATCCTTTAGCATTTTATCAGACTTAGCAAATGTAGAAAATATATTATTGTCTTACCCAGTCATAAAACTTCCTTATAAGAAACAATTTGTGCATTAATTAATCTAAAAATTGATTTTTTTTTGTTGCAGCACGCCAACGCAGTACGTGACTCAGCTCGTTTGATCCTCGACTCTCCACAGCCAGAATCCGAGGATGCCCTCTCCCTAGCCAGGGCACTCCGCACCCGACCTCCTGTCAACATGCTCCCCGCTGCCAAAGCCGGCACATTCTTCGCCAGAGACAACCTCTCCAACTTCATCGACTGGTGTCGCAAAGCCCTCGGCATCCTCGAATGCCTTCTCTTCGAAACTGATGATCTTTGCCTCAGAAAGAACGAAAAGCACGTCGTGTTATGCCTTCTAGAAGTTGCAAGAAAAGGGGCAGTGCTTGGCATGCCAGCTCCTTTGTTAGTGCAGATGGAGAGGCAGATTGAAAGGGAGTTGGCAGGAGAAGAGTTGCGGCCTGATGACTCGGCCCTAGGACTGGTACCTTCAGGGCCTCAGCCGCAACTAGTGACTAATGATTTGAGGAGTTTGGATGAGAGGGTGAGGGACCTCGTGGAGAGGTGCTCCTGTCCCACTCAGTTCCCGATGGTGAGGGTGTCAGAGGGAAAATACAGGATTGGTGACACAAGGCTGTTGATCTTCGTCAGGGTAAGTTTTCTTTCTTAATCTGAACTAGCCTGTAACTATTCCAAAATAATATCTCTATACAACTATTTAAACTCTCCAAGTAGTTGCAATATGAAGCAGAACATCTTTTCGGTTAAATATCATTCACAAAATGCTTAAAAGAAGATAAAATAAATCGCAGACGACCAAAACAAACAAAATAACAGAATGAAAATAAAGAACAGCAATTCCCAAGTGTGTCTGGTAGGGTTGAATCAATTAAGCTGTTCCCGATGTAGGTCTAAATGAGATTTCCTGTCTAGACAGCACACCATTAAAGCACATGACTTGGGGAATTGCTTGACGTTTATATCGTTTTGTTTTTCAAGAGCTATCGTGATGTTCTTGTGCCAAAGTAAAGTGTTTCGCAAATATACTCTGGTCCTGACGACGTACGAATAATCTTATTATACAGAGATGTTCTGAAGAGTCTTAAATATATCGATTCTTGGAACGCCTAAATCAGTTTCGATGTAAACTCAAGTACCTTTTATAAGCCTAATCATTATGTATAATATAATTAAATAATAATACAATACTTACGCCCAAAATAATATCTAAGCTCAAAATACTCCTTATAATAGCAAAGGCACTATGAATAATAATTCTGTCACAAAATGACGTTCTAAATGCAAATACCATAACTCAGTGGACAGAGGACGCCTGCGCGTGCGCGTGCGCCGATCTGTTGCAACAAACATTACGACACAGTTTACAATGCGACTCAAAGGATCCAACGTTTGCTTAACCTGAAATGTGAAGTGCAGTATCTGGTGATACATAAATATTGCATGGACATATTATTTATAATAACACAGCTTCTGCCCACACCACATTTGTAGAAGAATGGAAAAGTTCAGAAGAATAGAAAAGAAGAGCAAAGAAAAGTATTCATAACTTTTTTCACATTACAGCGTTAATGTTTTTTTTTTCATGGGATAAGCCGGAAATTGAGCAGACGGATTACCTGTTGGTAAGCAATCGGTCTCACCCATGTACACCTGGAACACCAGAGGCGTTACAAGTGCTTTTGGGGATTAGGAATTTGAGGACTGTTGGTGACTCAAGGATTGGAGAAGGGAGGGGAGGGGGGGGGGGAATTGGGCCTCCGGTAGCCTTACTCACACGACGAAACAAAACGCAATGCGTTGTTTCTTGTCGGTTTTCTGCTCGGCCGTGGTTTCACCGTTCGAGCCGGTCCCTTCGTGCCGAAGCATGGCTCTCCCACACTTGTTATGAGATAATGATGTTGGAATGTATAACAATAAAAAATATTTGCAGTTGTATCCGATAATGGCATCCAAACAAATAAATAATATTTTCAGTCAAGTATCAAAACATTGCCAGTACCAAACAACGAGCAGTGCATTAATTTGCACTAAAAATAGATCTCCCAAGCGCCTTTTAATGAAAAAAAAACTATATTCACACAACCATTAGCGCCAAACAAGCTTGACTTTTAAGGTCACACTAATAGTGTTCCAATTCCTTTGGCGACGTATCTATGATTCATTCTATTCCATTCCTTGTTTGGTCAAATCGAATGGACGTCTCATTGTAGAAAACGACTTTCGACCTTATAGCTGCCATTGAAAACAGACTCCGCGTATCAAATAATTTATATTAGGAGGCAGGTCAGTTTATACTGGATTATCTTTCAGATCCAAATTTAGTGAGACCTCGAATTAGGAACAAGTGTTTAGAAGGGAGGGGTCAGTTTATGTTGGATCTTATCTATCGATCCATATTAAGGGATGCAAGGCTAAGAACTAAATGAAGGCGGATCGAGGTCACCAGACTTGTATTGATTGGGACTATCAAGGCAGCATTCCCACGGTATCAGCGAATCTTTATTTGGAATTTCTAATAAACGAGTACTTGAAGGTTCAGGTTATGGTGGTCATTTTGTTCGGGCCATGTGGTCTGGTGTAAAGTGGTCTACAACGGCCTCATGATCTTTAAGTTCAAGCATGGGATCGGGTTCCAAATTGAATGCACTCTCTAGTACTGTCCATCTATTAGTAGTGGCTACTTCAAAGTAAGAGCTGCCACACAGCGCGGTTTATTTATGAAGCGGTTGTTGAGATTGACCGCCAATTGTAACTAGGATACTGCATTGAAGATTTGTTTTCACGTCAGTGCAATAAGAAGATCAATTTGGTTTGGAGTCTCTTATGAATCACAGTCATCTACCAACTAGTCTTTAAGAATGATACGCTTAAACCACTCTAACCACTTGAGAAAACCGTATGTTTTTAATAGAATCCGTTCTTAGGTTTGCATCGGACACACATAGAACACAACGCGTGTGGGAACTATTTTTATAACACAAAGGATTCCCTGATCATATAGCTTGGTTAAAATAATACTAAGTTTTAACTTCAAACTCATACAATATTTATTTTTCCACAGATCCTCCGCTCCCACGTGATGGTTCGCGTCGGTGGTGGCTGGGACACCCTCGCCCACTACCTGGACAAGCACGACCCTTGCAGGTGCCGTGCCCAGCACCGCACCTCCCTATCAGCTCGCCTCGCCCGCCCCAAGCATGACCTGGCCGGCGCCACCGTCACCTACGAGAGACCAGACCCTGGCCCAACCTCCCTGCCTTACACCAAAACTGACCCAAAGAGTTACGAGCCAATGTCTCTCCAATACAACCCGAAAATCTACAACGAGGAACCGAAGTCTGGACACTATTTATCCAACCACAGGCTGAACAGTGATGCTCCAACCAGTCTGCCGTATTTGGGAGAATTGGACAGAGCTGCTTCTCCAAGTAGGAGGCATTTGGCTCCAAGGGCAATCAGCCCTACTAGGAAGTCTTCATCTCCGGATAGAAGGACTAAGATTGTGACATCAAACCACCTAGTCCCTACACCTCATGGCATCAGGAATAAGAGTCCCAGGCCAGTGTCTCCAGCTCCTGCAGCTGAGAGTGCTTCTGATAATGGTTCTGAGGTGTCTGATGAAGGGTACAGGAGTCTGGGTGTGGTGGCCGGTTCTACGCAGGGATCCCCTTCCACGAAGACCACGAACAGATATTCGTTGCACAGCCAGAACTCGATTGAAGACGCAGAATTTAATGGTAAGTGTTCTTGATTTGTTAACTAGATTAGAATGAATTTCATCCAGATCTATACAGTAATTTTTACGTGATGGTTATTTAAGCATACAAACAAGCGATAAATACATTTATTACAAATATCGATAATGACAATAAAGTCCAAAATTGCTTGTAGTTCTCTGAATGTTCCATGCAGCAACATTATGGTGCCCTGAAAATACGTATGTCTCAAATTCCAGGCCGTATCAGTATTAATTTCGAGTCTTAATTTAAATGGGAGCTTTGCACTGCTAGTCTAGAATCTGGGGCGAGCACTAATTTTATAGAGTTAGGTCTAATTAGTCACCAAGTGGATGTGACATTGATATAAATATTGATTGTCTTTATATTTGACCTGTGTACTTGATGTGATGGATCATTGTTTTGGATCGTAAAGATCACATGCTGAGAAAGATTAGTTGACACATACAACAAATATATTGAAACTTAGTGAAAACTTAAACCAAAGAGATACGATATTAACAGAATAGATACTTGTGTCGAATAAGGATAAGTATGTGCCGTGTTCTCTCTATTCAAGTCAACTAGATCAATTATTGCACTTTTCGAAGGAAGTAAGTATTTAGGGAAACAGAGAGCAGAGTTCCTTAAAATCGGAAAAAGGAGGTTCTTTAGACCAGGCGAGGTGATCGAGCCTGGCGGGATTTCTGCCCAACAGTTGTGCGTTGGGATTTTCTATCCGTGTTAATTCGCATGTAAACTTCACGTGTGCGATGTAGGATTTTTGTGACGTCATCCGTTGATTTTCTTTTCATCGATTGTCTATATCCGTGAGCTGTCATGGTGTCATTTGACATGTGTCGCACAAATATATCAAAAAAAAAACGTAAGAAAAAGATAGCAAATACATTAACAAAAGCGACTGCGCAATTAACAAAATAACCACTGTTTACTTTTGATGAATAGTCCGCAGATAATTTCCTCTTTATTACTGTAGCCTTTCGACATTTGTGCAAATATACACACACTGTGTACAAACGAACAGAGAGACGGAACTACATGACAATACTGCAGATGGACTACAAATATAGTCTACGTGACTAAGTAGAGGCTCATAATAAATTACTTGGAAATATTCATTTATACGACCTAAGTTTTTAGGATAGATGAATATCTAAATAAATCGTCTCTGTTACTACATGCTGGTTAAAACTTCTGGAAATTATAAACTTCCATTAATACTTTCTGTAAATCAAACACGCCATCTTAAAATAGTCATCAAATACCAATTTAAGTAAAATATTAAGAAGATATTTGAAAGTAAAGTCGTCAGGTTCCCTTTAAAAATTCTCAAAAGTAAATTATAAAGTCAAGAAATTATGTGAATTATTATGTTTTTAGCTTACTCACGGAATTATTTGACGAGGAACTCGACTAGTTTCAAGCCATGCTAGAGGCTCATATTCATGAGTAGCATTCCGCGACCCGCGACGCGGCGACTGTCGCGCTACCCATTAACTAGTCGAGTTCCTCGTCAAATAATTACGTGAGTAAGCCGAAAACATAATAATATATTTAGTATGTCTCACGAAAGTTATAATGTCCTATAGGAAGTCTTTAAAAAATTCAATACCCACTTCACTGAAGGCTTTTCCTCGAAACTGCATCAGCACTTCAGAGCAGACATGATTGTGAAACCCTCTTGGTGACTATGTCATAGTTATATGTTGTAGTATTTACATAGCGTTGTGCAAGTTTCAGCAACACTCATTGTTTGTTATTGAAACATTACTGCCAACAGACGTGCAACCTGAACGAATATGTACAGTTGTAGTATGGCATAAAGTACAAGCCATAGCGATTTTGGAAAATGATTTTTAACTTACACTCTTTAATCTTAAATTCTGTAGATCGCCTAGTAGATGTTTCAATACACTACTAAAGCTAATTACGAGTGTTATTATACTTATTATGGACAAATACATACAAACTCGCACCGTTAACTTTTCGAAGTAAGTGGGGTTAATAGTTGTTATTTATGTAGACACACAGCTTCCTCCTAATTACAGATTTGCGTGAGAAAGAAAGAGTCTTCGCATATTCGCGACCATTTAATCACAAGGTAACCTGCGATATCTCTCCCTACCAATAACAATAACACACAACAAATCGCTGTAGCTTATGCTGCAATCGCTGCCGCTAACAACTTGCGACCATCCTGCAATTATTGTCGCAACTGGTAGCAGTGTACCGTTGAATTGTAGTGTCCTCACTCAATGAATGGCAGCACTAGGAGTCAATGGCTTTATTTTAGTGTATACTTAGCTAGTACAAGTACTTAGATAGTCTAGATTACCTAGTATTCAGTAGGTGTAGGTAGCTTAAACATGTAGTTTATGAGATAATGTTAAAGCCTAATTTAAGTATGCATAGGTAGCCCCATTTAACATGGCTGGGAATAACTGTCTGAACTCGGAAAAGAAACTCGGTGTCTTACAGAAGTTGGCCCGAATCTTGACGCTTCACGCAGGTCGATTATAGATGATAGCGTTGAGAAAGGTCCAGGTACATAATATCTGCTCTTTGTCACCTGTCCAGTTTAAAATGGTGAACGTCAAACCGCCACTGTCGTCAGCCATCGGTGACTTTTTTTTTAAGGGGGGAAAATCATCGAATGACTGCTCCCGCCTGAGTGAGGCGGGAGGGAGTGTCAGTCAGTAAGAGACTGACTAAAAACCACCTCGTTACTTCTCCTGCACGTCGAGCCGGAGCCCCGGTTACCCGTTAGGTCCACCGCGACGCCATCGGTGACTGACGTGGGGTTCTAAGGGTTAAAATGTAGTCCATTGGTCGGGTCTAATGTCGGTATATATCATGGTAGCCCGGAAGTTTAAGACACCCGCTTGTCATGCATAAGAGTGCGGGGTTGAAAGCTACCAACGACAAGTACCAATTTGACTCGTTCCGAGTTATACGTACTTTCTAAGATTATTAGACAAACGGTAAAGAAAAACATCGCGAGGAAACTTGGGCTTATAATCTCTTATTGAAAGTTTGAAACCGGCAACCCGCATTGAGCAAGCGTGGTGATTAATGCTCAAACCTTCCATGCATTAGAAGCGGGTTTGCTCAGCACTGGGTGTTTATAGGCTGTTGATGATGAGTCGGATCACGGTAAGGGTTAAGGGTAACAAATATATTCTATTCTGCGGTAACAACAAAACTTAAAAAAAAGCCCATCAGCACGACTCCAACCAGATGTGACCTGTGTTTACACATTCTTTAGATCCCAGTCATCTCTCATATAAGGTGATCGTGGACATCTACTACACACTGCAACTATAACTATACAAAACCAGTATATAATAGTCTCTTTTTATATGATCTTTCAACACGTTTAACGGTCATTTTATACTGGTAATCATAGCTTGACGCATGCAGCTATACAGAACCAATTTATCATGGTCTAACTTTGTATGATCTTTTAGTAGAATCAACGGTCAGTTTATACTGGACTTGCATAGTTCGATGTGTATGTACAGTATTATACAATGTTAGTGACATTTATACAACAGGCTTGATAATATTCTATATGAGCACATTCCATCAGTTGTCCGTGTATTATTAGTAGTGATATCTTGAGATAAAGGCATTCTTTACATTTATTTTATAAATGGTTTCGCTATTTGTGATCGATACTCGTAGATTCCAGTAATATATTGTGTGTTAATAGGTCTTTGTATAGTTGTTTCATTATTATGCAATTTTATTTATAGAGATAGACTGAGTTGTATGGATTTCTGTGTAACTGTAACGAGCTTTGTAGCATTTCTTTTGATTTTATTAATTACTAGTTGTATCCCGCGACTTCGTCCACGTAGAATATGATTCCTGTTTTATCCCATGGGAACGTTTAATCGGACTAAAAAGTATCCCATCATCTAAGTCAGTCCATACCCTGCCTGGCCTGTATGTCGAATTTCGTCAAAATCCGTTTAGTAGTTTCAGTGTGATTGACAGATAAACATCGAAACATCCAAACAAAGATACTTTCACATTTTATAATATTAGTGTGATTTCATAGCTTATAAAACACCGACAAACTATAGATCTGAAAAACTGTAACTAAAAATGGTCACCATTAAAATTATTCAGGGAATTAGGGCATCAATAATAATCCATGAATGCAGTTCAAGTGTCGTTTAGGAGACCAGATTATCTAATGACGTATAATAGGTATTTTAAGCAAAGTTTAGTCTTACCCAGCGCGTCGCGTTACGCGCGCGCCTCAAAGAGCCATCAGACCACCACGGATAGGACCCAATAGGGCTGATGCCGATTCGTAGTCGCGGAGAACCTAAGGGGTTACCGGGGGTTCCGGCTCGAAGTGCAGGAGTAGGAACGGGGTGGTTTTTAGTCAGTAAGAGTCTGATACTCTCTCCCGCCTAGCCTCACCTAGGCGAGAGCAGTAATTCGATGATTTTCCCCCCTTAAAAAACCCAGACGGGAGAAGTCATTTGATAATTTGCCCCCTTAAAAAAAGTAATGTTAAGCTGTTGATTGGTCCCCAAATCTTCAATATTCGCTCACAACTGTACTAAAATGTATGACAAGAAAATGTTCCTACACAGTCATGTCCAAGGGAACCAAATATTCAAGCGGTCAACAACACCATACATTTACTTACCTACGTCAAATTTGCGCATGCGCATGCAAAACAATGGTAGTCCTTGAACAACCAAAACAGGTGTCCTACACTGTTATATGAATGATAAGAAACCATTCATTATTATTTAATAATTATTACTAATAGTACGTCAATTGTATTAATTTGGGTATGTGAAGACGGTAGAGTTTATTCACTACCGCTGCTCTTTCCGTGGGTCTCGTATACCCGAGAGAGAGAGACTACACATCTGGCAGAAATTGAGTAGCAGCGCTCTTTGATAGACATATGCCGGAATACTGAAACGTTACTCAATTTTAAGTCGAGCTCAAATATCGTGCCATCTCTGTCATTT